ATATATATATATATATATATATATATATATATATATATATAATGTGTATTATATAATTCTTGATATATAATATGCTCACAAAGATATCTTAAATATGGCTAGAGTAACGAAAGTGATGAAATAACTAAAATGAACTGTTTAACAAACTAAAGAATTATGCATTAGAATAAAACGCTCGTAAATGTTTAAGAATGTTAAAGATAACCTAAAGTTAATTGCTTAAGAATTAGAGAGAACTAAAGTTTAGAATTAGTGAATTAGAGAAATGGGATTTGAAGGTGAGGACTATCTTTGGACTTCCGATCCCGGCACCCGACTCTGATTGACTGCTACACCGGTCACTACTCTACTACTACTGAGCTTTTGTGATCCCGCCTTTAGGAGGGGATCTGATTGGTAGTGATGCCTTCCTTTTGGGAGAGAAAGATTTCGTACCTGGAGTGTCTCAGATAAAGGATTATTTGGACAAAAAATTATCACTGGCTGGCAGCCTGGTCGGTCGGACGTGATAATTTATATTCACATATTTGTAAAAATTACTTTTTTATCTCGTTTATCTCCATGCACTCCACGTTTCTATTTATTTGCGTCATTTTAATATAATTTTATTTTTATTTTATGTCCATTATGTTTTTTATATTAATATTTATAAAGAATTACAATTCTTCGATATTTCTTGTTTACACTCTCCCATATCTGTCAAAAAGGTTTCGCAAACTAACAGACTCACTACTTAAACAGTGTTACTAATTACAGAAATTAAAATTATATCGTATAGAGAGGTTTTCGTTCGTACCAATACTATCCCCTCCACTTTTCGGGAAAATGTAGTCTAACCTTTCACTCTCTGTTATAGCAAAAATTCCTCTACGCGCCCATAGGCCAGTATTTATAGTCAGATCTTATATTTAAGACCGTCTTTAATTTATCTTCAGATGAAGAACGGATCATTTCATTGGCTACAGAATATCTGAAGATGAACTTAAGCAGCCTTAAAAATAAGATCCGACTATGAGTATCGGCCATAATAGTATTTCATATATGGTTTCTCATGAGTTGGCCATACTGATCGGAAACGAATTGTGGTAGCAAGTAACGTATTTCACAAATCGTCTTGCGTTGTTTACGCGATTTCGGTTTGCCCAGGACGAATTTTGTGTGTGGATCATCGCTGGAAGTGCCGAAAGTGAGTGTTACGCGTTCGTCGTGACGAGATGTCGTTAAATACTTCGCACGGAATAGGTATATCGCGGAACAAACAGTTGTGAATTTGCGCGTTCATGGTGTTAATGGCGGTCGAAAATGCGAACCTTGAATCGTTATCCCTCGCATCGTCTATCTGTCGAAGGAGAATGATGTGCGCGAGTATTGTCGGGAGTACTGAAGTCTCGCGCGTTCGTCGTGACGAAACATCATCAAATACCTCGCATGGAATAGGTACGTCGTGGAACAAGCGATTGTGAATTCTGAATTCGTGCATTCGTGATGTTAATAGCGATCGAAAATGCGAACCGTGACTTGTTATCCCTCGCATTCACTCGAAGTGAATACTTAGAGTGCTACGACAAAGCAACTAGGAGTCAGGATGGCAGTATCAGTGTCAGTGTCAATTAAAGAAGCAAAATCAAGTGTCAAATGAATATCAGAAGTCACAATAAAGCAGCCAGAAGTCAGAATAACAAAGTTTATGTCAGTGATAGTGTCAATGTAAAAGTCAATAAAAGTCAATATCAGTGTAGTGCAACAAGTGAATAATTGGTGTGCCAAAATATTCGATTGGGAAATCAAGAGGAGAACCCATAAAAAAGTAAGACAATAATTTATATCATGTTAAACTAAATTGCATATTCTTGCGGAATCGTCAATTTCTCGTCGTTATGACTTTTACTACTTTTACAATGAACATCACGGCAACGTTTACATAAATGAGTGGATTGCGCGACAATAAGTTATTTTAGCTCTAAATTCGATTCTGAACACTAATATTTCAATTGCGTTTATATGGTGTCCTACACTTTTCGATCGGCTTGCTACAAATTTTTACAATTAAAATCACGCTAATAGGTGATGCTAGAACAATGCTGATCGTACGAGAATTCTTTATATTTTATTTAATTGCCCCATTCGAAATATTGATAGTCTGATTGCTACTAGGTGATGATATATCATTTTTGCATTTTATCTCACTAATCAATCTTAAACGACAAGAAGAACGATTACAATTAGTTGAATGCGTCAAATTTTAGGTTTTCAACGCGCTATATCCAAAGTTTCTACGATATAAAAAAATCTGATATTCTGTTAATTCTATTGAGCTGAACGCTATAGATCCCTCGTCGCTCGAAGATCAAGGTCGTTAATGTTGCTACCTCGCTACGTTTCTTGGAAGTTCTTGGCAGAATGCCTGATGTAATACCACTCTAGCTGCACACATTCCTCCGCTTAAAAAACGCTAAGCGATCATGAGACTGTAATTCGATCCTCGATCCTTCACTTTTAAGTTTCAAAAAAACTTCAAGTCAGTGCTGCGAGATCGGGAAACTTTTGGGCGCTTTGCGCTGTAAGCATCATTCTATCTTTTTCCCGCAGGTAATAAACGATAAAGATAGAATGACGCTTAAGCGCGTAAGCGCCCAAAGCGAACGCACCAAAAGTTTTCCGATCTCGCAGCACTGCTTCAAGTAAAACCAACGGCACACGATACTTGTTTTCGTGTTGGATTGTTTGCTGGATGGAAATACTCTATTCTGATTGGTCCGTCTTCAGAAATGCACCAATCAGAACAGAGTATTTCCATCCAGCAAGCAATCCAGCATGAAAACAAGCATTGTGTGCCGCTAGCTTAAAGAGGCGTCTACATTGGAAGTAAGCAGTAACAAGTAGTAAGTAAGAATAAGTAATTGGCCAATCATAGTTGATTATTCTTCTCACATTCGACTGTGGTTGGTCAATTTCTTACTCTTACTTTCTACTTCTTACTACTTTCTTCCAATGTAGACGTCCCTTTAGAGTTGGATAGGAGAATAATATCATGCGTTCCAAATTTATTTCTCGCACATCTGGAATCTCACCTTTCTGTCACTTGATAATCTTTCGAGACTTATCACTCGAGAACGCGTGATCGGACGAAAATGCGGTTAGCACGTCGATGACTTATTTGGATAGGAGAATAGTATCATGCATTTCAAATTTATTTCTCGCACATCTGGAATCTCACCTTTCTGTTACCTGCAATGTCGAGGTTTATCACTCGAGAACGCATGATCGGACGAAAATGCGGTTAGCACGTCGATGACTTATTTGGATAGGAGAATAGTATCATGCATTTCAAATTTATTTCTCGCACATCTGGAATCTCACCTTTCTGTTACCTGCAATGTCGAGGTTTATCACTCGAGAACGCATGATCGGACGAAAATGCGGTTAGCACGTCGATGACTTATTTGGATAGGAGAATAATATTATGTGTTTCAAATTTTTTTCTCGCACACCTGGAATCTTACCTTTCTGTCACCTGACGATCTTTTGGGGCTTACGATTAAATGCGCTCATTAATTGTGCGTCTTAGGAAACGACATGAAAGTAAGTCTCGATATAATTCTTCTAATCTTTTATGAGATACAAATTATTTATAATTAAAGCTGATATTTAAGTTGATTAAGCTGATATTTAAGCTGATATTTAAGTTTGATATTAGGACTGATTCTCTATCCATGCGTCAGAGAAAGTCTGGTTGCAATAAATAAGTATGAATGTTGTTAGATGAATCTTACATTTATTTATGTTAGGTACGATGAAATGCTTGCCAAGCTCTAGGATTAGTTTTGGGTCACAACCCAGACTCAATATTACCATCTTCTTGGAAGGTACGTACATACTTCAAATGTATCAGCGAAGGAATTTATTTTATTGAAATACAAAAGTGGATATTTTTATAGGTTCAAGTATTTCCAGTGCTCACTAATTTGATATGTTACAGTTCTAATTTCAAAGTCCGCACTAACGTCGCATGGACATTGTCCTCATGTAATTATTACAGCGAATATACCATGACATTATGGAGAAGCGTCATTTCAGCCTTTGAAAATGCTCAGTACGTTCCAAGCTATGTAGAATATTCGCATCAAGTCATGCTGATTGAACGAGTGAGTATATTTGCTGACACTGTGCATTTTTTTGATCTTGTCATTCGTGTAACCAAATACAAAACGTATCTTTTAGCTATGTCTTACTCTCTGCCGCTTGCACAGAAGAAACAGAGTTGCAAAATCTTTGGATGGAAATTGGTGATCATGTGGGGAAAGTTTCTAATCTCATGAAAAAGTACCAGATAGTGCGTATAACATAAAGTACAAAAGATTATTATTCAAATAGTAGTTTTAAAAATAACTTATTATATTTATATACGTATATTTATCGAGTGTTATATTGCAGGAAACTGTGCTGCCTGAAAAACTAGGGGATTTAATTAAAGCAAGAGCACAATTGGAGCAACATACAAAGAATGCTCGAGACGTTGAAAATCGTCAAATTGCTTAATTATTGGGAAATATATTTGAAAAAACTAATCGCTATGACAATTTAAATGTAATATCTACAATATAAATTGATAAAAACTAGTAAAAAAAAAGGAAGAAATGGAAAATTTCCTGACAAACTTTCTTTGCACTAATTATCTTAGTGTTCTTTTTATAATTAATATTTAACGATACTAATATTTTTATTATGTTAACCTTTGGAGAACCGGAAGCCGATATATCGGCGCGATTGCTGTATCAGCTTTTTCCCCATTCAATCCAAAGATATTGACAAAAAAGTTCTAGCTCTTAAAATAAAGTTGATAAAGAAATAGCCGGTCCTCAGAAGGTTAATATTATATGTTTAAATTTGCAAGTTATATTAATATTTAATATAGAAAAAGAATTTATATTAGAAGTTATATTTTCAATTCATATTTTGATAAATTATTTTATTTACTTATTTGTAAAATATAATAGAGAGAGGAAATTTGTATTGTGTAATAACTGTATGTAATATTGTCTAATAACTGTATGTAATATTGTCTAATTATAGAATTAAACTTGCTGGTTACAAATGTGTCATAAAATTTTAGATCAAACTAAAATATTAACATGTATTGTCATGTTCCATTTTCACATTGCTTGTTACTTCAACAGGTACTTTTGATTTTCTTGATTGTATCCCAGATAACATAGAGAATTAAAAAAGAATCTAAAAAGAATTCTAGTACATCACCAATTCTGAATTCATTTTCAGATGCAAAAAGAATTCTTCAGAATTCAGTTCAATGAAAAGAATTCTTTTTGCATCTAAGAATGAACTCAGAATTAGTGACATGCGACTGAAGTCTTTTAATTCTCTGTGGGTGCTTTCCAGTTACACTGTGTTGCACAAAACCAGTTTATTGGTTGCATATTATCTTACAAGATATTTTAGATAATATGTGACCCATAAACTGGTTTTATGTACGTGTATGTCAAGATGTGTTAAGCAATTGGAAAGCACTCTGTGTTATCTGGGCTGTTTACCGTTTTTAGGAATGATGTGGTGAGCATGAGAGAGAAATTCTAGTAGAAATAAAAGACATGTTTCAAGACTGAAATTGATGAAACTTCTTTTTTGAAATAGAGAAGTTGCAGCTTTTCTCTTATTCATTTCTTACTTTATCTCTATAAATAGCGGTGTCCTAATTCTGACTTCAGGAACTCTAAGTAAGGATGTGCGATTTATGAAACAATGTATCGCGATGTGATCTTTTTTAAGAATCGCAATGAATGCGATATATCGCATCATAATTGTGTATCGCAAATATGATTTTAAATCGTGCGCAATTTTGTAACGCAAGTGCGATTTTGAATCACACGATTTTATATCGCTAATTATTAATCAGGGAATTTGGGACACGATAGGAACCGTAATGTTTAAAAATAAATGTTAAACATTAAAAATAAATCAACTCTCTTTCCGTACTGCATCAAAATATTCTTTAAAATGTACACTATAAGAAAACAAATTTTACTGTGGAAAGAATACTTAAAAATAAAACTATAATAAAGTTAAATGATGTTTATTTAAAAACACCATTTAACCTCATTATGCTTACTACGTGGGGTGTGAGACATTTTATAAAACTTGTTTATTTCTAAATCATTAATTGTAGCAATCTTCAATAATCTTCTGAAAATATATATAAAAATATAAAAATCATATATAAAAAGAAATAATGTGTGTAACTTAATATTTTAATAACATTTTAAGGCTGTTAGTGACAATCCCATTATGCCTCTAAATATAAGTTAAGTATAAATTTGGATTAGATAAAATACATAATAGATGTAAAACATTATAGATTGTCGAGCGATAAAAGTGCAATTGTGTATCGCATTGCGATTCAAGGAAAAAAATCGTATATTTCAAAATCGCGCATTCCTAACTCTAAAGGGACGTCTACATTGGAAGTAAATAGCAAGAAGTAGGAAGTAAGAGTAAGAAATTGACCAACCACAGTCGAATGTGAAAAGAATAATCAACTATGATTGGTCAATTTCTTATTCTTACTTCCTACTTCTTGCTATTTACTTCCAATGTAGACGTCCCTTTAAGGTGAATGGCCGCAGCGAGTAAAGACCGCTATCTCTGCTGCGTAGTAGGGGGGAGGGGAGGAATGGGGCTCGCTGCGCGATAACGTGTACAATATAATAGCCATATCACACTGGCGACTACGGCTGCGGTTGCGATTATGTCTCTTGATCAGTCAGAAATAAGCTGCTAGCTACTATTGCTTTTCTCATTAGAGATATAATCGCAGCCGTAGTCGTGAGTCACTAGGATACGGTCCAGCAAGCGCTACAAATGTTTTATAACGTTTTTACTTCTTTCTCTTTCTTCATTTGAATCCAAGAAATAGAAAAAGAAAGAGAAACACTGCGCAGCATTTGTAGCGGTTACTGGACCGCGCCCGCTAGTGTGATACGGCTATAAAGGTGCCAATACATGGGAGCGTTCCAGCGTCGAGGGTTAAAGCGTTAGCCAATCAACGTATCAGGTCCTAGAAGTATACTTGTAGTTCTTGCGGAAAGTGGCACGTTGATTGGTTACCGCTTTAACGCTCGACGCTCGATGCTCCTATGTAAAGGTACCTTAAGGTGACTTCCGGGAGTCGCGCGCTCCGTATTCCATTCATCACGCGTCGCGTGGTGTATTATCTACAGTTCGCTACGTAAAGCGTCTTCTACAATGGCAGTAGGAGTAGTAGTAAGAAATAAGCAGTAAGTAAATAGACCAATCACAATCGATTATTTTTGAAACGTGAGAATGGAATTGGTCAATTTGCTTACTGCTTATTTCTTACTACTACTCCTACTGCCATTGTAGAAGACGCTTAAATAAGCCCGAACGATCTAGAACGCGGATCAGTACAATCGTTAACAATTCCATTTGTAGACGTCGTAACGACTTCAAACAAAAAGCATTGGAAAGGGAAAATTACCGTGCTCCCGATGGACGTGAAATCTAGAGATCCTGTAATAAGAGATAGGACACCATATGTCAACGTTTTGATTGGCTGCGCCATGTTTGGGATACACTTCCGGTTAGGATCATTAGCTGAATGACAACACAAGCAGTGGTCTGTTCTTTTCAGCTGCACTGGCTGCACTGGTTGCACTGCTGAACTGGTGCAATAAGTTAAAGTGAGATAAATATACTTCCGGTTTGGACCCAAACATGGTAAATCTAGTATTTACAGGCAACGGTGTCCGATCTCTTATTAAAGGATTTCTAGTGAAATCGTCCTTCTGTGAAGTAAGGATCAAGTAGTGTAGTCCTGTAAGTATGAAATACATCGATTTTCGTGTTTGCGTTAAAGTGAACATTAGTTATTAATCTATGTTAAGGAGCTATTATTTGATTGATTAAAATCAATCTATGTTAAAGAATCTTTGTTAATGGGAAACCTTTGTAGTGTGAAGCGATAATTTTCGACGAATAAAGTATATACAATTAAAAAGAAAAGTAGAATAATAATAATAATGGTAAATTTTATTAGCAGCAAATATTTTTTGTCGTAGCGCCGTTGTTCAAATAACTAATAAATTTAGCTTTGGCAACGACATCAATTATCCCTATTTCAATAACATCTTGCCGCAGCTATTAAACTGGAAATTAAACTAATTGTGTTTTAGCTTCTGTGGCTAATTTTTTTTGCGTGTACATCATACACTGTCACTTTTGCTTCTGTTAGAATCGATTATTCCACAAATTCATAATTAGTGGCTCGTAATTTGATGCGCTTGTTTAACTTTATCGGGAAGAAAGTGTTCTTACTGTTTCGCAAAGTAGGGCCCTTATAGAAATATCATACTAAGAATCATTGATAATTACTTATTGTCAGTATTAAAAATACTGGATAATAAGTAATTATCAATGATTCTTAGTATGATATTTCTATAAGGAGGTACAACGAATAAAAAGATTGTCCGTAATATTTGGGGTGAATCTGCGAACTCTTCATCTTGTCTAAAAACATTACGAAACGATGAAGAAACTTATTTTTGCTGTTCACTTTCCCTCATGACACATACACGCCATTTTGAGGGAATTCGGCCCGAATGGCCAGACTCTGTATTCTAGGGATTTTAGGTAAATCGACCGTCGTCACGTCCGGCTCGGACCGTTGGCTGAGTGGCGTTGGGGAGGGGAGGGCGGAGCGCAGCTGGGCCATGCAACACGCGTACGTGAGCATGTGCTCGAGCGTCACACCATAACACTAACCGTCGAGATGAACGCATTGGGAGTTGCCGCGTTATTTTTTAGATTATTCCGCGCCGATTTTTAATACCGCGTTTCGACTTCGCGACAATTGAGGCGATAATTAAGATAAATTAAGAAATTAATTAACATGTACTCCTCATGTGAGCAGGTGTTGCAGGTTTTACCACGATAGGTAATTACCGCGTTTCATTTACTGTTTTACTTGTTAGACAGAGAAACGTCGCAATTGAGTTCCTCAATGTCGACCAAATATTACCATTATCTACTTAACATTCGAGTATTATTACTTCTTTATTCGATTATTATTTAATTTATTCTGTTATTTAATTATTGCTATTACGCATAAGAAAGCAACTCGGGCGTGCTGTTACGACAATTTCTTTACCTCGTCTTTAACCAGTTATTATTGCCGTTGTCCAGTTATTATTTATTGTTATTACCGATTATTCGATCATCGTTATTCCGTTATTATGTATTCGCGGATACTATCACAAGATTGTCAAACAGATATTATCACTAACACTTATTATTCGAGAGCATTATTATATAGTTGCTTTCCTATGCATAATAGCAATAATTAAATAATAACCGAATAAAGAAGTAATAATACTTGAATATTAAATATTTGTGATAATAATATCTCTTCGACAATCGTATGATAATATACGCGAGTGTATAATAACGGAATAATAATTATCGAATAATCGATAATAAGAATGAATAACAATAACTGGATAACGGCGATAATAACTGATGAAAGACGA